TCTCTCCTTCCCATCCCCCCCAAGACTTGTGCCTTCTATTCCTATCATTTGTTGGTATGCCATTGCTTAAATCTTAGGTTCCCACTGCCCAGTCCATCTGCAGTATCCGCATGCCATCATTTTTATAACTATTAGGAAAATGCCTGGTTGGAAAATTGCCAAGGTGCTACCATTTCACCTTTTAAATGTGTGGAAAAATGGCTGCTTGGTAGCTGGGAAGCTCCCTTGGACAGCAAAGGCTCCGTTGTTGTTGCTGTTTTGCAAACCACCAGACAACTCCATAGATACACTAAGAACATGAACTTAGGTTGAGGAGACACTAGAATGTATTTATTTCTCTGGGCGGGTGGAGGGGGGAGAATTTTTGCTAGAATGGGATTGGCACTAGCTCAGGAGGTGATGGGCTAACTGACGGACAGTCTTCTTCTGATTTGCTCGTTGTGTCCCCTGCACATTTCCTGCATTTCAAAGTTATTTGTTTTCTGCATTTCAAAAGAGAAGACTGCTTTGGGTCAACTTCGAACTACCTGATTAATGAGGGATTTAGAACTAGAAATGATGTGGGGTGGAAGTGCTGTTAGACTCTGGAGAAGGGGTTAAAGCGAGAGGAGGAAGTCTTAAGCCTACGAAAAGATTTCTGTTAAACGGCAAGGCCATTTCCTCGAATGGCAAGGCCATTTATTATCATCAGTAATCATATCAGATTTTGTCAGGCGGCTATTTTAAAATCAGACCTCAATCTGCATCCCAGGGAGACAGCTGTTTCAAACCTTTTTTTTTTTTTTTTTAAAGAACCTCTGTTTTATTTCTTGTCCTAAGGTTTATGCTTAAATCAATAAAAAATACAGTGGATAATGGTAAGAATATTACATTTCTGTTAAGTATTTCCTATTGTACGTGAACAATATGGACCTCTGACAGATGCAGTGCACCAGAGATGCTAATACATTTTGTGAAAGCCAAACCACAGGTTAGTCACGAATGCTGGGTCAGAATTCTTTGAAAGACACATAGTAAAAAGTTGTTGGAATGTGTCTGCATTATTTGGAAGGATGCAGCAATGGAGAGGTAAGACGACCGTTGACCCTTCTCCATTTGCAATTGTCATTTTCTGCCCTGCAGTAGCTTTTGTGTAGACAATGACTCATTAGGCCAGTGTTTCTCAACCTTGGCAACTTGAAGATGCGTGGACTCCAACTCCCAGAATTCCCCAGCCATCCGGCTGGGAAATTCTGGGAGTTGGAGTCCACGCATCTTCAAGTTGCCAAGGTTGAGAAACACTGCATTACTCAATGGTGTTATGTACTGGATACAATATATAATTTAATCTTTGGGTGTGTAACATTAAAATAATTACAGAGTACCACTTCCATGATTCTGCTTTATTCTGTAGTCTCAATTTTCTCTTCTTACTGAATAATGTAATTTTATCTGAACACGATGTTGTGTTGAGACTTCTGGGGGGGCAACTAACCAGGGTTCAATTTCCTTTGAAAGAAGAGCTCACAGATCAAGGATGGTTTGGACTTATGTAGAAATATCTTAGTTATGGAGAGATTGGGACAAGCAGTTTAGGTACTCCTTAAGAAAAAAAATCTACCATGTTATCAGATTCCCAGAGAAGCAACACAGCCAAGATGTAGCATTCAGTGGTCTCTCAGCTTCCATCTCTCTCATTCACATAATAGGAATTTCTTATTTGCTGTATGCTGCATTTGGCTGGAGTTGATGTCATTGTGAGTTCATTGGCTTCTCCTGTGTGTGGGCATCTTGTAGCACACTCTGTGAGTGGTTGTGCAATGGAAGTGTTTCCATGGAAGTCATGACCATGTTTCCATTTTTATTCAATTGTTGTCTTTTCTGCCTGTCTCCTAGATTGAGTATGCATTGGATAATATTTCAATAGAGCAGGAATGATACATCATTAGTCATTGGCATAACATCAATTTATGATCTGAAAGTTTATTTTTCCCAAACCTGGTGTGCTCTGGATATATCCGAACTGCAGTGCCAAAGTATCTGCAGGGCACAAGGTTGGGGAAGGCAGCTCTGTTCAGCAATTATGTCTTCATAATTCTAATCAGATAAATTAACAACTTCAGGGGTGCCTGAGGGAGGGAGTAAACATGTCAAGACGACAGGTACCATTTTGACCACTTCTGTGGATGCTCCTGACAACCTGTGACAAGCCGAGTTTTTAGACAGTAGTTAAGATGGTGCCATTTTGCTTGGCAGATAATCAGAATGACTCCATACTAGGAAAACTTCACAGTCTTGGAATGCAAGCTTGTTTTTCCTCCCAATTTGACCATGGACAGTAAAATTATTTATCATTTTTTAACCATTCAGAGAGCAGAAGCATGTTAATTTCACTTTCTCTTCTCAGTCAACCACCTAGCAATTGTACTATGTCATATGCCAGATGAGACAATAATACATTTAGAAATAAACAATTTTCAGTGGTGAGTTAGAGAGGAAACCAAATCAGGCAGAAACCTTACAGCATGAGCTATAGCAAACATCACTGTAGCCCACAGTCACTTATTTTCTAATCAAGGATTATTCTATCCTCCCCGCCCCAAGCTTTTATAAAGTTTTCCTCAAAAGAAGAGGATGTAAGTCACAATTCTTGTGCACATACATACATTGTTTAGGCTATGTGCTTCATCATGTTTATTAAAGCAAATAATGTGAAATTCCTTTCAACAGACCCTACCACCTAATGCATAAGTAGTTGTTACTTCCTATTTTATTATTAAACTTCTTGTTAAGAGGTGTTAAAGAGCATCAATAGGAAATAAACCGGGTAGAATGACTCTGTAGCATGGATACTGTTTAGTGCAACTTCCTTTATGTTACAGAAAATGTTCTTTCGATAACCATATCAATTTTTCCAGTGAATACTTTTCAAACTGCTGGTCCAGAGTCATAAATACACATGAGATGGTTTTTCCATATAGGCGTATGTTAGAGTAGGCAGTTCTAATCTTTTCTGAGCTGGTAGATACCAACACACTGGTGTTGCTATTGTGAACACACCAGTCACAGAATACCCATTTCCCAAAGGGAAACTAGCAAGGCTAAAAGAATTAAAATGTTGCCCAGAAATTAGGATAAGGCACTTCTGGGGTCTGAGCTACAACACACGTGACCCCTCTTAAGACTATACACAGCCAGAGGCAAGTATTATGGCCAAAAGCTTAGCAGATTTTTGCTCCAGGAAGAATAAAATGCCAATTTCAAAAAAGGGAACAACAGAGAGAGAAGCACATATACGCATACTGCCTACGTTTCATCAGTAGCATAGCATATGATTGATGGGCCCTGGAAATGTTTTTGGGGATTCCTCGGACATGCCTGTAATGTTCCCATCATTTATGTACTGACTGGTTATTTGTTCGTCTTCCTTCCTTGGTTGAGAGTGCATGGAGAAAACAGCCATTCATGCTTCTCTGACAGTGGTGAAATGAGAATTGTCATGATGCAATTATGTTTTCATCTGAAGTGACAAAGATGGTTTTAGAGAGGTCCAGCTACAATGGCAGATGGGTTGAATGTCATCTCTTCTTAAGCAATTTTTTCATAGCTAATAATATGCATATGAATACTATTGGTAAGCTGAATTTCAGCCCCACGTCAATAAGAACAGCAAACTCTGAAACTGTCTTCAGCAAGCCTGGTTTCATAATTTGAAAGAGAAACAGCAAGCCCTTGAGTGAAAAAAAAGCAGATGGAAGAGCTGAGATGGCATAAGAAATCCACTGGAACATCTGAAGAAGATTAAAGAACATGTGGAATGATATTCCTCTGGAGATCCATACTGCTCCCACCCTTTTGATTTTCTGCAAATTGTTAAAGACCTGGTTGTTCTCCCAGGTTAGGATGGTGGTTGAGTCCCTTTGGTTCTGTCTTCTGGTCAGTGATATCCTTTTTTCTTTGATGTATGTTGGGCATCCACAAAATTGAAACAATTATAAAAATATTTCATAAATGTTCTTCATAAAAACTGATTTATGCTCTGGGGGTTTGGGTCACATCCACATAAAGATTCTACACCAGTTTGAAAGCAATCCTCTGCATTCCCATGACCATTGGAAAACCTGAGTTCATTATGTGTGGCTCAGCATCATGGCCGAGGAAGTGATATGGCAGGGCGGGGATTTGAATGTGTCTTTGTTCTCAGCATTTTAGTATGGAGGAAGGAAAGTCACTTACAAGTCCTCTTCACACTATTTCCAAGGATTTAGGAGATGAACTCAGAGACAGTATTGAAGTGTGAGTTACACAGTTGGGTGAAGTTTCAATGTTCAATGCGCATAAAAAATGGGTGAACTTTGAAAACCCTTGCAGCTGCCATCTTGACTTTCTTGACCATGCCCTGTGGACACTCCTGTTCGAGCTGCTTCCTCCTGGACTAGATTGTTCCCTGATGCATAACTTGGGAGCTTCTCCAATATTTAGAATTAATATGAGTATGTTAAGTTTTATATTAATATGTGTTACTTTATATTAATATATTCTGACGTGTGTAAATATTTAATAGTGAATGATAGCTTTCAACTTGTAATAAATATTGGGGTTCATATAAACCTGGCTGGTGGTGCAGGAGAACTTCCAAAATGTTTAACTGCTACATGTTCTTATATCATGCAAACCAATGTGTACTGATTCAGGTACATGGTAAATGATTTTTAGGTAAATGATTTTTTTTTTTTCAAAATTGAAACCAAGGCTGCAAATCAGCCCCGTTCCTCAGGTGTAACATTGAACTTGGTAAGATTTTACTCTGAGTAGACCTTTTACTCTTTATTGGCAGAGGAAACACTGGCTTCCTGTAGCAACTAGATCAAGAGCGTAGAATTAGGATCTGAGTTTTGTTAGCAGAGGTGTCCCTTTTCTGAGCTCAGGAAATTCTGACGCAAGGAATGGGTTGGGTTTGAGGTTTGGAAACCTTTTGTAAAGACAGTCACCCTCCTGGCCCTCTTTCATTTTCACAGCAGCAGTGACAGTTGGCGGAGTGAGGAGGTGCACGAGCCAATTTGGAGATGCTTGTCAAACCTAGTGGGAGGATCTTCGTGGCTCTTGGTGTAATCCTCTTTCTGGGGTGCCCAGGACAAGGTAAAATTTCAGGTGGCTGTTCTTTTCATAATCTTCTTGTTAAGCTGTATTGTACCATGTAGCAGAACAACAAATATGAGATTTGCACAGCAGTTCTGTACATGTTGATTCAGAAATAGGCATCAGTGAGTTCAGTTGGGCTGGCATCCAAAGAAATGAGGACAGAACTGCTCCAAAACCTTGGGCTCTTGCTGAAGATGTCCTTCTCCCTGGATGTTACGCTCAGAAATCTACTACAATATCCCTTCTCCAAGTAGGAATGTGGAGGCTCATAACTACAGCAGCTTGGAGTGTAGGATAGCCATTCTGATATGAGTGTTGTTTTTTTTTAAGGTGTGCATTCTTCAGACAAAAAGGAATAATCCCCGAAGCTTAATAAAAAAGAACAACAAAAAATGAAATTGTTAAAAGAAAGCTCAGAGTCGTAGAGCATTTCTTTATGATCTTGTTGGGGTTTAAGATTTCTATTTGCTGTTCTATCTTCAAATGTTTCCAAAGGCTCCCCTGTTTTTGAGCAGGATGAGGGAACTGGCCCACCTTCATTTATGGCCAGTGTCCTTGGGGTGCTATAGCAGTCCACCATATTCCACGCAGAGTCTACAGCAGCAAGGGATGTAGAGGTGGGGTGGGGGTTTACAGTTTCACGGGAACAAACATATTGGGAAAGTGGTTTAATTGTAAAAGTTGGGAGTGGTAGCTGAGTAAAAAAGTACAGTTCATTATGCCGTAAAAAAATATGATTAAGAGTGTCTTAAAGAGGATCCTACTTTCCTACAAGTAATAATACAAATAATAATAAAGTAATAATAATAATCAACTTAATCCCAAGAAAATTATAGTGTCTGTAATACTGATTACAGAACTTAGTACGTGAATTTGGAAGGAGCAAAGCATACAGTTTTACCATTATAAAAAATTCTGTGCATCTTCTATTACAGTTGGTAACAGTATTTTAAAGTATGACGCATGTGATAAAATACGGAAAAATTTAAAAAGCACTTTAATGTGACACTACCCGAGGGCACATTTATTCTAATTATGTATTCAGTACCAAAAATGTACTGTACAATCCAATTCTATACATTTTTACTCAGAATTTAATAGGATTTACTGTATGCTGAACTAGCTGCTTCAGGATAAGGCTACAATCCGGTAAGGCTGTAAAGATTAAACTGCTAGTTACGTGCCAAAGTCATTTGTTATGTGCTAGTTATGTAGAGAAACATTCAAAATGTTAATTAGAAAAGGAAAAATATTACTCTATCCATTTTTAGATCTCCCATAACTGGGCGGCAGAACTCCACGCATCTGCTAGATGGCAGCAGCGTGATACAATTTTCTGGTTCATTATTGCCATTCTATGCACTCTGAGTTTGGCCTGGACTGTGGTGCAATAAACCACGTTAGATTTAAAAATGCAACTCTACATAGCCGGTTAGATATGGCGTCACACTTCCCCTTGTGAGGAAAGACAAACTGACCAGGAATGGACTTGTATTACAATGATTACATCAAGGGAAAAGCGGACTTTAAGCCAGCGTTTGCTATTGGCTTACAAACGGCGGCTTGTTTGGGACTTAATTATAATCCTGAGTATAACAGAAAGTAACACATTAGACTTTTAGCAGGCAATCACACCATTTACGGGGGTCCATTTTCCCTCCTGCTTCTTCTTTCTGCTTGGTATTTTTTAAGAAACAACCTTAGGAACTCACTGCCTGGGGGCACCCTAGCAAAGTATTTGAAAAGTTACTTATTTTTTTCTGTTAGAGCATTAGGTTTGTCTTCTGATGCAAAAGGAAATTGGTGTAAGTGTGAAGAAATCGAGGTCTCTGTTCTTCACAGGTTACCACACAGGATACTTATACCGAACAATCTTACGCATCTTTACTCAGAACAAACTTCCACTTTCTGTGAACTTAATTCCTGCTGGACATGAGAGTACAATTTTCAAAAGTTAAAAGGAAAGACAAATCACAAACCATCTAAATATATCATATTTTCTAATCCTTGTCCCATTTTTCAAATGTGATTTTTCTCTGCACAGAGATGCTTCTGGACATGGACAGGACAGTGACAGTAGTAAGGTCACAGGCTGCTACACGGCTGGCAGAAATACCAGGAGGAATCACCCTTCAAGGATAGCCCAGGGAGGGAATTCCAAGACCATTTGTTCCCTAGTGATTTCTAGCATTACTCAACTATTGTAATTTATGTTATTCTGGTGAGATAAAGATGACTGATGAGGTTACCTAGTTGGGTAATGAAGCATCTGCAAGCAAGCAACCAAGCTCAGAGAGTCCCAAGAACTCCACGGTTCAACCCTGAGCTACAGAGATTCTCTTCTATTGGAGATAAAATCTGTCTCTGTTAGGGATCCGTGGCTACGAGAAAATGGCTGGGTGATCATGTATGATGCTAGGAATCACTAGGTCCAAAGTCAGTCAACAAATACCAAGTGTAGAGCACTGACTAACGTTTGTTGGGGCTGGGATGGAATAGCTTTGCACAGGGCATGGCTGGCTGGCTGAAACCTTGAAGAAAAGCACCCTGTGCTAAATGTGAAAAAGACTTGCACACTGTCCGAATCCTCTCTTTTGCATCAGTCTTATTGATGCTTCTGGCAATTTACTTGACAAAGAGATTTTTGAAGCGGCAAATCTTTGAGTTACTCTTTCACTGTTGAGCGAGTTTAATTATGAGTTTGCTTATTTATTTAATGGTATATGGTGCAATATGCAATTAAGTAGGGCTACCTGCTGAGCTCTTCCTGTTCTAATGTTGCCTCTGTCATAAAGATTGTATCAGAATGAACAATTTTGTATTCAACCCATTCAGCTTTATAGCATTGCTTTGGCTGATACAAGAGTGTTAATCCAGGGTCTCTTCCCTGCTCTGTGTCGGCTTGAAAGGCAAACATGGCACAACTCACTTTTGTAACTTACTTCAGGTTTACTATTAAGCTGCCACTAAGGAAAGACAAATGATGTAATTCCCGTGGGCTGATGGAACCAGTTCCATTCGTTTGGGATCTCTTACTCAGCTGGTGTTGATGACCTTGATCGCTAGTATAAAAGAGTTTTCTGGAAATATTATACATGGTTGAAGATATTGATTAATAGTGTTAACCAGAGAGGTCAACTTTCAATCATTCTTCCTAGTTTTGTTTTATTGACAAGAATCGATCTGCGATTCTCAGAAGAATAGGAAAATAATTTAATACTGCAAACTGAAGGAAATGTAACAGAAAGAAGCCATCATAAAGGCTTAGTGAGATTAAGGTAAAACACAGCAACAAAGATTGAACGCTGCTAAAAAGTTTGCACCGTAATCAGCTAATACTTCTGAGAGAGGAATGAAAGGTTAAATCTGTAAACTTTCAGCATGATTTCAGATGTTTCTTTCTGTTCCTTTGAAGTTCAGAAATAGAAAAAGGAAAAAGCTTCAAGGGAATGTGGTTAAACTAAAAAAGGAAAGGGTTTAATTTTAACTGATTCAATCACTTAAAACAGAAAATATCAAGGAAACATCTGCAGCCACTGTTTCCCACAACTGGTAAACAGACATAAGAATGTACCATGTTCCTAATTATCTAAAACAGGGGCGCCGGGGGGGTTAGGGTTAGGGTATCTTCAGTCTGGTGCTCAGGAGATGGGAGGTATGTTTGGAATTATAGTTTAGCACACCTGATGGACAACAGGTTGAGGAAAGCTGAGTTGTCCTTTTTCTATCATCTCTTTTTCTGTTGAACCTCCCCACCCCCTGCCCTTGTGTGCGCACTACATCAAGGTACCCTTCCCCAACCAATACCTTCTATATTATTCGACTACAGCTCTCATCCTCTCCAGGCAACATGGACTTCTATGGAAGCCATCTGGAGAAAATTGAACTCTTGCTGTCTAACAAATGGAGGGCAGCTGATTTGGGAAGGCTTTGTAGTGATTCTCATTTCTTTTCATAGATGCCACCTACATTTCCAGGATCTACTCCTATTACAATGTAATGATTTAAATGTATTGCCCACTAATTGTTGGCAGTGATTTATTTGCTGAGAAATTGTAAAGAATTGACAAGAAGCTATAGAAATTCCTTGTCACGCACAGGTCACTCAGTTTTTACTTTCACCTCTCTTCTAGCTCTTCACCAACCTAAACCAATACAAAACAGAATACAGTTTATTCAGTTTTTCTCTCTTCATAAAAAAACTCATTCCAGGATCCTACCAGGTTTTATGCATTTCTTGATTTACTAGGACCATGTTTTGGGGCAAATGTGAGAACATCTTCTGTGATCACATGGAGATGGTCTTTTCAGCACTACTAGTGCATTGTTATGCTGTCCTTCTTTGAAATGAAATTATGCCAGAACTATGGACAATTCACACTTATGTAGAATTGAGGGAGTAAGAGATTTCAGGGCAGATGGCGTGGCTCCCCACAATAATAATGTAGAAGTGATTAAGCTAAGAAAGGGCAACTGGCCTAAATAATCCACAGTAGTAGTTTGATCTAAGCTATCATGATCCAAGGCTGGTGTGTTGTCAACCACATCCCTCTTGTGTAATCCATCAGTTAGCTGTACATGAAGACTCTCTTAAGTCCCCCTTTTCTAATTTACTGTGAAGAGAACATCTGGATTTGGATAGGAGGAAAAGACTGATTGAAGAAACTTCTGTTTCCAGTTGTTACTTTTATATGTGTTTACTTTTAAGTCAGTTCCATCCCATTTTCACATGTAATAATGTTTTTTTAAAAAAACATAAAAATATCAGTGCATACCTGAATGCACTTCTGGGTATATCTTGTTTTAAAATATGTTGCTATATCAGGGAATGTGCACTTCTACACCATCAGGGTTTTCACTTCCCCAAATTTGGGAAATAATTGCCTTTACTTCTGACAACTTGAAATGGTGACAAGGTGTCAGACCTGCCTGTACAACTCTAGAACTGGATGCTGAAATCAGCAGGCATCCAAGGAGGCAAATCTCTGATAAGTAGGTTTATTGTCAAAAGAAAGTTAATGACGCCATTACCGAAGAATTCCAGTTACATTTATTGTGACATTAAGGTTTCAATCATTGTGTGCACTTTTGTGGTGCCAGTGGCTTAACCCAGCTTGTTTCTTGGGAAGGATGATTTTCACCCATCCTTTGTTTTGGTAACAAACTAGACTTCTGATCTTGTGAAAACCACCTCTTTGCCTGTAATGGTATGTGGGAAAGACCTTGGGAGATGGGGAGAAGAGATGCTGCCTACACAACAGTCAGATAAGAGACTCCATAGCCTGCAGCTGCAAAATAGAGGAGCAGAGGCTCAGAAAGGAGCCTCCCTAAGTTCTCAGGCTGTAAAGATGACGGCGGGGGAATTGTAATCTTTCAGACTTGCAAGATTCTGTTAATGTAGCTTTACAATAAAGTAGAAATAGCTTATCTGGTTGTGTTTCCTGTCTGATCTACCTGGTAAGGCTGACATTGTCCTTAGCTGGCTCAGAACTTGCAGTAGTAAAAATCCCCTCACTCTTATTCCACAGGGCAAGACACTTGACACCTTCATGCTGCAAAGCCATTAAATGAGCATTTTTCTTACAAGATCTGAACATGAATGAATGAATGAATGAATGAATGAATGAATGAATGAATAGCTTTGCAGTGGTGTCAGCTATACCACAGCTAAACTGCATGTATATTGGCACAGCCTTCCAATTCTGCTGTTGTGGTGGGAACATAAATACTAGGAACTTTTTTCAATCTAGCCCAGAACCCCCATGAAGTTCATTCACACTGGAATTGGCAGAAGTTCAAATTTTGAAACTTTGAAAATGACTCCTCTCTAGTTAACAGAGTGACTTCTGATTGTGTGTAAAGTGAGTCACTTAGTGGAGCAGTTGATTTCCTCAGCCATGTCATGGAAACATGGTTGTCTATGTTGTGGTGAGAGAAAGGAAATGAGTTGACTTTCTATATCAATGTCAGCCAGATCCCATTATATAGCTTGAAAAGAGTGGAACTTTCTTTAACCTGGTGCTTGCTGGAGATGATGAAAGTTTGTTCAACACACCTGGAAAGCACCAGGTGCTTGGGAGATGGACTGAAAACTAATATGATGTCCTCCTATCCCAACTGAACACTATTTACTAGAAAGTCTGATATAATTGTATTTTCTGGCCCAATCAGCTTCAAACGGCCTTGTTCCTGCTTCTCAGCCTTCCTTTGAGCCTTTGCCCAGTACACTCATCCCAAATGCCTTACAATTTTCCTTTGGAGTGATGTAATTTTTTGAGCCTGGTGTCTGTTCTCATGTTTCCTGTGAGTTCCTGCTTCTATGCTACCTTTGAGAAAGGCCAGGATAGCTAAACTTTGTACTGCCCGATCAGGATCTTATAGATCCATTTAGGATACATTCAGGATTTTAAGCTGTTATAGGCAACTAACAACAGTTTTAAGTTAAGGTCCCCAAATTAGAGAAGAACTTCCTATGATAGATTTTATCACTGAAAGATTTTTAGAATGATCAGCGCTGTTAAGATTATATTGGTACAGCACAAGCTCTTGTGTTAGGCATTGTGTTCAGGGGCTCTTTACCCATTTTCAACTTAGCGTGTTGGCTGAACCCAGCCAACTGGGGCTTTTGTGACAAACCATCATTAAGTAGCCTTTCCCAGTTCTGTGCCCACCAAATGTGTCTAGATTTCAGCTCTGAGAATTTTGAATGAATGTAGCCAATGGAATTCTAGGAGTTGTAGTCCCACTCATCTGGAAGGCTACAGTTTGGAGAAAGCTGCTCATTTATTATTCGTAAATTTATTTCAATTTATACTGTACTTTGTCTTTTTTTGAAAAGGTACTGAAACTAGCGAATCATAAAAATGGGACAAAATATTTTTTGAGTAAGCTGCCTACCATCAGATATCATGTTTAGGTTTCTTGTTCCTAATCAGTCTCACTTGACTAAGATGTTTTCAAATGTTGTTATATTTACCTCTCCAACTAGAGGCCAATCTGAAAATCCACTTAATGGCTGCTGATGCCTTCAGCAAGAGTTTTCCTGTGAAAGGAAAGCCATTTTGGCTTGGTTATTTGAGAGACTGTCTATCTCCGATAATTTCTGCCTGTCCTGGAAGATTGGGCAGAATGGGTGTTCCCTTTGATCAAACAATGCCATCTATTCAGACCTAGGAAGCATGCTTTCTCTATTGTGGCACTTGCCCCCTGGGGCAGCATCTCCCCAGGGATCCCTATGCTTCCCACCCTGATGTTGTTCAAAAAGGTGTTGAAAACCCACCTGATCCCCCAGGACTTGGGGTAGGGTGGGCTCCAGCCCCTCTGGAATTTTTATCTGATTAAGTATTCCTCTTCTTCCAGATGTGCATGATCTTCATTTTCATGATTTTATTGGTTTCCCTGCTTTTCCAATTACAAGCCACCCAGAGTCTTGATGGCCTCTGAATTGATTGATTGATTGATTGAATAAATAAATAAATAAATAAATGTATAGAGGAAATCTCAGGTTGCCTGTCCTTAGATTCTGACAAAGGCTGTCACTGTATGAAACTTTTATACTGAGTTTTCTGTTGTTCTTTTTACAGAGTCTGATGGCAGTACTGAAATGGCAATGCTATTCCAATACCAAGATTACAGAGTTGTCATGCTAATATTTAAAAGGTTATAAATAAACTTGATTCAATACATATACAATCTTTCACCAGGAGCTCCACAAAAGGGCCAGTACATGAGGGTCAGATGCAAACCTGATGCCAATTCTGCCAACTGCGTTGAAGAAAAAGGACCAAGTTTTGTCATGGCAGACAGGAACGCCAACAACCCACCCAAGGCAGACCCCACGCTGTAAGATAAAATAAACTTTCACCTATGGTTCTTAGTTGTTCTTTAAAATGCTGAGAATGGCCTAAGCAAGCAAGGTTTGTGACATATACAGGACGATGATACAAAATCATATTTATTATATAACAAAAGAGATATATTGATATATTTCTGTTTTTAATCCTGCTTTGTCTTTATACTGCCTAGAGTTGCATTGGTGACTGAGGCAGCTAACAACTTGATTAAATAAAACCAATCAATTAATACTGCAGGCAGAGTTGTTGCAAAATAACATAACTTTCAGCACTATACAAACTGGGTCTTATAAATGCAAGTTGCAATGATCCATATCTTCATAACCTGAATTTTAAAAATACATGTGCAGCTATGTTTTGGTTTTTTTTTCTTGGCAGTATCCTTTTAACAAACAGAGATTCATTGGGCAAAGCTTTTCTCATCAGGAAAAGCCATGTGAGAGATACAGGACCAGTGAAATAGAAACTAGACTGAGTATTGCATTAGTGGGCTAGAATCCTCTATCTCTCACGTGGCTTTTGAACTGAGGAACAGTGAAACTGTCACTTTTCTCATGTGGTCTGAATTCTGACTTATCTCATGTGTAATCTATTTTACAGCAACAGCTCTGCATAAATACAAAGAATAGGTGGACTTACTACCTTTTCAATCCTTTTCTTTCTCCCTCATGCTTTTGGAGCTGATGCTTTGATTTAACCCCCTGTTTTTAACTATAAAAAAAATTAGGCTTGCTATGTTTTCATTCGCTCCCTCCTTCCTTATTTTAGCATTTTAGTTGGCCAGCTCCCTATGATAGGGAGGGAACCAAAAAACCTTGTAGGCACCTGTGTGGCATGTATAAATAATAAAGAGTACATGGGTGCCTTTTGTTACAATAGCTATGTGATCTTACTCTTGTTTATCTGAATCAGTCTTTGCTCACACTGGCTGGGGATTATGGAAATCAAAGTCCAGCTAATCTGGAGAACAAAAGGTTGTGGATGGCTAGATTGTACTAACTCTCTGAAAGAGGCTAATAAAAAACGATCACAAGCAGAAAAATGCATATTTAATTTTTTGTTTGCTCTGCATATTGCTTGACCAGTTGATTTAAAAAAAAACAAACAAAAACCAACTGATAGACCAGACATCGTTTTATTTTATTTTCATATCATACATTGATTTTGTTCACTCCCCAACTTACTTTCAGCAAGGGAATAAAGAAAATCTAAACATTCTACCTAAGACTTAACAATTGTTTTTAAAAAATGTATTGCAGAATGACACTTCGAGACCATACCAGTACTTTGCCATTTTCTGAAGATGAATATGGATCAGGCAATGAAGTTGATCCCGAGACAGGGTCGGGCTTTGAGTACGATACGGAAGAGCCCAGCACGTCTGACTTCGCGAACCAACCAAATGTGAATCTGAAGCTTAAGCTAACAAATGAAGGCTTAGTTCTCCACGAAAACAGACTGTGATTTCGGTTATGGCTAGATGCGATCTTTCTTTTTACATGCCATAAATTTTGATAAAATTTATACCCTAGCTAGGCCAGGCAAGTACATTATAAAAAAAAATTACAACCAACCATGCATGCCTTAAAATGCTTAGTGCTTTTCTTTGATAAAATATAGTATTTGCAAGCTTGGGGGGGTGGGGTTAAGATATAGAGTAATCTTCCAATCATTTGCATTTATCTTCTGATATGGAAAAAACAGAAGCAAACATAGCAGAGCAGTTCAGCTAAATTCAAAATAATAATGCAGGAATCAGCCATACTAAGTAATGAAATCCTAGACAAACTCTCTCCATGTGAGCATCGTTTTGCTTCGGCTCATAAAGTAGGAGCAGATCAATTCCCAGGACAAATGAATGGGAATGTGCCCCATCATTCTGGAATATTTTGAGACATATTTTTCATTTGCACAAGAGACCTGCCAGAACTAATGCAAGAACCTGCTTTATATATGATCTTTGGAGATAACAAAGGCTCAGACAAAAAAATAGGCTTCTTCTGGTCCCCCCCCCCCATATAGGGGGTGTTCCAAATTTTCCCAGCTCTTAACTTTTCCAATCAACTAGCATCTTTCTGAAGTCCACTATTTAAGGTAGCTTTCTAGTCTGGGTGGATATGGTACAGTCTAAGTGATTTTCAAAAACAGGAGCAAATAAGCAGGTTTTGGGGGTGTTTGCATTACTTTTAGAAAAGGGAGAAGCAGCAGCTTTTCAATTTACAAAACAATTGCCTTCCTTCAAACGTTTCCAAACATACTGAAGAACCACGCTGTTTTAAAATGCATCCATGCCTTGTTCCATTTTTGTTACATTGTAAATTGCCCTTATATTTACCAGTCAGATAGATTTCATTTTTTACTTATCTTAAATGCAGACATAGCGCTTGTTTTGCAACTCTTTTAGCTACTTGTTTTCTTATACCTGCAATTACTGAGCTATCTTTCTATTAAAATCTAATGCAACTAAAGACTAATTTTTATTTCTTAAATACTTTTTATTTATTAATCAGATGTATCATAAATAGACTCTCAGTGGCTCATTAATAAGAAAAATAACATAATCAAAAATAAATTTAAAAATACAGTCCTTACAGACCCCAAAATGATACCTGGTGTCAACACTCAAATGCCTTCCAGAAAACAGCTGAAATACTAGATGGAAAAACTTTCTTAAAGTATTGCTGAAATTTTAACATGCCATTCAGCCTAGAAAATCTAAGACATGGAATCCATTGATACAGATATCAGCAAGTTAGAGAACAAAATGCATATGAAATACACATTTAAGGGAGGCATTACATGTATGGATGGAGTCATTTGGTAATTTACCAGAAGCAAATCTTCTGGAATAATAAGTTATTTATGGTGGGTGTGGGGGTCAGAGTCAAAGCTGGACCGTGTCTGGAACAGTGAACCACTTTCTGTTCTGGATGATTTATTTCTGGTAAATTATGAACCAACCAAGAATAGCCAGACTGGTGAATTCCAGAGAAAAATACAACTGTGTAAGATCTCAGAATGTTTTACCCTATGAACATTTGCACATATCTAAACTGTGTTTTGAATGCAGCTAGCAAAGGAAAGCCAACACTTGTTTATTGACCTAATCTTCCTGTTTTTTCCTACATTCAGTCAGAATCTCCCCATCTGTAACTTAAGTCCATTATTCTACATTCTAACTTCTGATACATGAGATGTCTTGGATTTCTCTGATTCTCATTTAGGTGTTTGAAAAATGCCATTTTTTTCTCTTCGAAGGATAAACACATCCAGTTCCCTCAGTTTCTCCATATAAGAATTTCTTGTCCCTGTTCATCCTCATTGCCCTTCCCTGAACCAGTTCTAGTTAATCTGAGTATTTCGTACAGTTTGTCTGAGTGGAAACATAATTCAAGTTGGAATCTGGATAATTCAGAATAGAATGTAACTCCCTATGATTTAGAAATTATACCTTTGTTGATGCAGATTGAAGTGGCATTTGCTGACTCACATTCAGTGTATGATCAACTACAATACTGAAATCTTTTTCACATACATGTTTTCTAAGTATGTGCATTTGATTTATTTTTCCTAAATGAAAACCTTTAAATTTGCTTCTTTTAAATTTCATTTTAGAATGTTCAACATATTTCTCTAACATTTAAAGTTGCTTCTATCTTCTACAGCAGTGTTTCTCAACCTTAGCAACTTTAAGAGGTATGGACTTCAACTCCCAGAATTCCCCAGCCAGCAAGAAACACTGTTTTAAATATTAGCTATCACACCCATCTGTGCATCTGGTTAACTGTTTCTTCCACCTCATTATCCTAAACAATAAAAATGTTGAAGAGAACTGGACTCAGAATTCAATCCTGTGGCACCCTAGACCACTTCCAATGGCAAGCTATCCATTTCCCAAAATTTATAAATCCAGAGCAGTCCAATCCTACATACCTTCTACTTAGAAGTCCACTGTGTTCAATTCTGCCAATTTCTAGGTAATCACAATTGAATTGTAACCTAAACTAAACTGCTAGGAATGTATTAGAAGAGCAGGAGAAAGGCCTTAAGGGAAACACATCATTAGCTACCGAACTATGAACTATCATTAGTTTAACATTATATGCTCAAACTCTACTGTATATACTATACTGTAAGGCTATTGACTGGGTGATTATTGACAAAACAATTAATCAAGAGTTAACTGAGTTTAACAAGCCACAACTGGAGAATTCATATACTCTGCCTAGGGGCCTTTACAACAAACCACAATGATGCCAGATTGACATGCATAAGCTGTCATTTGACCCCACTTGTCCTGCTTGATGTCCCTGATTGTGCTAGGGACATGCAATGTGCTAAGTCTAGACCGCACACACCTTATTGTACAACTGTGTTATTATGGGAAATCCCCACTCCATAAGAGTTCTGTAGAGTAGACTGGACTGAAGGATTGTGGCTGGTTCCAAATCAACCAGTTTCTATGACTGAGAAGGGATTTGAACCTGTGTCTTCCCAGTTCCAGTTTAGTTCTTTAACCATTAAACTACCAGTGGCTGAAAAATAATCTTAGTAATCTTTCTAAAGTTTGCTCCTTTCAGCCTATCAATTTAACATTTATTTATTAAAATTATACTCAGGGATTCAATTTCATTTTGTGAACTTCTCAGTGGCTTGGCCTAAAGGGCTAATTATATTGGAGAAAAAAAACTATTACCAATTAAGTCTTGAGAGGTGAAACAGCTAAACTGAAAATAGTTCCCTTTGTTATACTGTGTGGGTGTGCTCTCTCTCCCTCCTATAAAGAGTTTTCAGCACATCCTCAGCATTGGACTTGTTCATACTGGAGGCTGGGACCTATCTGGTCCATCCATCTGCCAGACAGGGGAGCTTGCTTCCCCTCTCTTCCAAAAAAAACTCTGAGCTCCACCTGATGGTTGCCCTGGGTGTAGAAGGCAAAAGAAAAACATTTGGTTTTTGCCATCAGCAGAACTCAGATGCCAAGGCTACCAGGATACTGCCTGCCTGCTTCCCATTAACATTAATGGGAATCCAACCTGGCCTGCTTTTCAGTTAGACAAAGAAAGGATGCTCAGCTGCTCTTTCTGCCTATTAATCTGAAATTGCAGAAGTGAGAAAAAGGAACTCTTCGGTCCATCAGCTAAAGGAACACACCTCCAAGCTGTATATAAGCAAGAATATTACCAAAAGAATCACTGAAATTCATTTCATTTCATTTATTTGATTTAGGCATTGCATGACTCCACATGATTCTGGATGGCTTACAGTATAACAAGGAAGATAAAATACAACAATTCGTTTTTTAAAACAATTTTTATTAAAAGAAGATTTTACAAAGATTTTAAAAGTGACAGAAACATAGAATAAGAAATTAAAAAAGGTTATAAAAGGATAAAAGAAAAAGTGAAGAAAAAAGTAAGAAAAAGATATCTAAAGAAGTGACTTCCTATCTTCTTTGCAGCAGTTACAAACATAGCAATTACCATCTCCACCCTCCCATATTGCATATCATAGTTCCCTTCTTCTCATAAACAAATCTTTTTAATGTATTGTTGAAGGCTTTCACAGCTGGAATAAGATGGCTGGTGTGGGTCTTCCGGGCTGTGTGGCCGTGTTCTGGAAGTTTTGTTTC